ACCTTAGATAAATACATTATTTGCAACAATTTAATGAAATCGTTAATCTCTCAATGTTGAGAATAGTACAAATAGTAATTGGTTTAATTACAGAGATAAATGTCATGAAAGTCAATTATAGGGCATTGATGAAGTCCTTTTACCTTAAGCTTTATGCGCTTTGAGCATATTAATGGAAGTTATGGAACTATAAAAATGACTTTTAGTTTGCAAAATTGATTTGCAAGAATTATGCTTTATAAATGTTAATGGAAACATCTAAGTTAGCTTAACAAAGAGTAGTCAAGCTCCAATGTATTGATACAAATTAATAAGTGCATCAAATTCGTCAAACATGAGCCGATGTCATTTGGGGCTCTTATAATTGAGGGGGATGTAGTTAGATACAGAGGTTGAGTTTTTATATGGGGTTGGGGATTTTCTTTTGAGCTTGAGTAGTCATTAAGTGATGATTGTATTGGGATTGGAGCTTGGGTTAGTATGATATTGGTGAGTCTTTTGGTGAGTTTGAGGAATAATATTGTTTTCAATGGAGCTGGAAAATTGAATCAAAGTGCATATTAACTTGGTGGTTAAGACATAAGCAAAAAAAAGATGTAGGTGGTGTTGACAAGAGTGACATATGAGAAACAATGTAATGTGGCACTAGAAAATAGCTTGGTATCGGCGGACTGAATCTGGCAGTAACAAGAAAAATATGTCAGAAATGTTCATTTTTCCGACGGAAATCCATACGACGGTAATTCGGCAACGGAAATCTAAACCGGAGAAATTTTTTTCGCCGGAAACATTTTCGACGGATCTTCCAGCACAATTGCGACGAAAAAAATGAAGGTTGCGCGTCGTTTTCTTTGAACGCATTTCGGCGCTTAATCCGTATGTATTTTCAGTGGAAATGCTATGCCGGTATTATCGGCGGATAATCCGCCGTCTTATTCCACTGTAATTCTGGCAATAGATGAACCGGTGGATTCTCTACCGAAAATACCGACGTAAAAGGTCCGCTAGAAGAACCAAATTGTTTTCGTAGTATCATTTTTTTTTTTTTTTTTTTTTTGGGGAAACCCACTAAACATTAATAAGAGTATAGAGAGAAATTTCTGCAATGCAAGATGATAAAAATAACAATATTTAGACAACCCATTATTTTTTAAGTTATGAGTTGAGATTAATCACATTAGAGGAAGTGGTAAAGAACTTGGTATTTACTGCCATTGTTAGAGTAAAGACATGTAATATTGTGGTGAAAGAAGTTTCTAACTAGTGGTTTTGAACATAGTCATGAAGACTTCAAAAACTTATGATTTTTTAAGAGGGTATATAGATATATATTTGGTGAAGTAATAAAAAAATATTATATGGCATCTAAATTCCTTATTGAGTGTATGGAAGAGATCCAAACTTCCAAAATAATAGTTTGAAGTAGTTGAGATCGAGGTGGTGACCATTGATATGAAGAAAGAATGCTCATGTATTTTATTACAACGACATGAATTATAAATGAAATAGGATGATGATAATGCAATGAACTTATGAGAAAATTATGAACTTAAAAAACATGCACATAAGAAAGGAAATTACTTAAGAGTGTTCTAAAATGAAATAAGAAGCTAAGTGATTATGATGAAGTCTTCTTCATGAGCGAAGCATAATCATCTATTTATAACAAATACTACGTACATGAATAATAAAACAATAGTCACATAATGAAACAACTTTAATCTGCACAAAATACGAGGTGACAAAGCAAGAATTTAACTATACAGCTATTCAAGGGAGTCGGCGGCGGCACCGAAAGGAGGCCACTGCTCCCAAATCTCAAAACAAAAAGTTAATCAAGGGAAGATTAACGTTTAGATAGGTAATTTATTCAAAATTTCATCAAATTTTATCCATCAGTATTAAGCAAATGTCTCGCAGATTATCTGCCTAAAACTATTAGTTATTAACGGCATAATCGCCGGAATTCTGTGTATTACAATTACCGGTAGAATTTTGCTGGTGGTGTATAACTGGCTAAAATTCCATAAAAAATTTCATATTTTTCTTGTAAAGATTCCCTTTGAGAGTTCTGCATGGAGATGAATTATTCTATGCAGACATAAAACTGGAGAACCGTTTGGTGTTCTCTCTGTCTATAATAAAAATACAGTGAATTGCGTTTTTATGATAGATAGAGAGAAAATCAGACTGTTTTCTATGTCTCATGTTTATTCTATGCTGACATCAAACTGGAGAATCATTCGGTGTTCTCTCTATGTACAATAAAAATACATTGAGCTGCACTTTTACTATAAATATAGAGAAAATCAGACGGTTCTTTACATCTCATGTCTGCACAGACTAACCTCTCCTGCATGGGTGGCTTTATAGGAGCAGAGTTCTGGACCTGTGTCACTTGATACGGAGCAAAAGCGAGTGTTGAAGATAGGGTCCCACTTTGCACTTGTCAGATGATTCTTTGTCCATCGAGATTTAAGACCACCCCATCATACGTACCAGATTATACCTGCTACTAATTAAATTTCTCTAATGAACTAAGATTAATTAGTTGCTGGGCCACTTGCCAAACACTCTTCGCATTCCTCTCTCTCTCTATCTCATGGATGTTGACTATTTTTATATCTTCTAATTATATATGTAACTGAGAGGTAAACCAACATAAGCATTCAGCCAAAACCTTAAGAACTCTTATTAACATCTACGTACCTTAATTCATTAAATCAAAGAGTTCTACCGCTTACAGGTAAGCCATGGCTTACTTATCTAATACTTAAATATATCTACTAAGTAGTTAGCTAAATGAAGAAATTAAGCCATTAGCTTAAAGATATAGAAAGGGGACTCTGCCTCTCTTCCAACTGCTGGAAAGCAACTGTATGGTGATCCTTCATATCTTATGCTCCTCCTCTAATTTCCTTTATCTATAATAACTAGGAGAAGATTGATTAGGCCAACTACTAAACAAGACTTCTGTCTGATGCCTACCAAATTTTAGCTTTGTTATCATATAAAAAAAACATCTAAAGTGTAAATTATGCTGTTCTTTTAGATTCTAGATTGCCTGATCTTTCTTTCTTCTTCTTATTTAATAAACTATATTTATTTTAGTCAGCACATCTACAAAACTAAAGATCCAGGAAAAAAGATTTTAAAAACTTAGGCGCCTGCTTATAACAATATAATAAGACTTACTATATATTTACTTTGCATGACGCAACATACAATCCTATACTATATAATTACTTTGTATGATCCATCTTTATTTTGTCTCAATATAATATCCACTTTCTATCCAATTAAAATCACGAGTAGAATTAGTTTTTAAACTAATTTCTAAGGTCAATTGTTTACACTACTGGAAATTCGTTGTTTATCCAAATTACCAGCGGTACTTAATACCAAACCGCCAAAAATGCCTACGGTAAACTGACCGCTGAATATAACGTCGGTTTTTTTTCTATAAACGTTGACTGTTAACGGCGGTTTTAATTATTTTTTTTCCGACGGTTTAACCACCAGTAATTGATGATTTTCCTGTAGTGTTAAGTATACTCATATTTATTGCATGTTTAATTTATTTTATTTAAATTTATATATATAAGATTGATTCAATTAATTATAAAAAACCGGCGTTATGCAAATTTTAGGCATGCGACAATAATCTTAATATATTTTTTCTATTTTTATAAATAAATATAATTAATCCTTCAATATCTTTTGATGTATTGTAATCATAAATTAGCAATGCAGACATGGAGTTTGTTTCCTACAGCTGGCGAAAGGAGTATATCAGCAAAAAAAAGAAGAGGAAAAATAATAAAATAACTTGATAGTTCGATGTATGTAGTTCTAAGCAATTAGGACATTTTTCTTTCACATATGAACTACCATCCATTTAGTGTCAAGTTTCTTATATGATCTGTGTTAGGAGAAGGAGATATAATCATCAAAAATAGAACATATTTAAATTTAGTTCCAACGACTATAACCGCTGGTAAATATTGCAGCCAGAAAAAAGTGGTCGGTTTCAATTTCCTACAAGGTTTTTTTCTGGAGAAGCTTGAACCAGTTGAAATTTTAATTACCGCCGGAAAATCTACCATTCCTTCGAAATATTCTGCTTGTATCGGACGATTTTTCTGTACTGATACATATGTATGAAATATAATTCTATTAAAAAAATAATAATAAAAATAAAGAATACACTACACATGCATAAACATTTGCATATAATTAAATTATAATTAGTAATCTGTAGAACTAATAATTAATTGTGATTAATCAACATGATGCTTGTTCATACGTTCCTCTTAAATAAATACATATTATGATATTAAATATGCTAATTAAGATTACATGTAGATTATTTTCTTTAATGATTCTGAGGAGTCAGTTTTGTTAACCTAAAACAACACTAATCCTCCTCACAAGTACAACAAACTATGGCAACAACAACAACGTACCTTACATTTGACCTAAGACCTCAATTGGCAGAAAGCTTACACGTGCAGTTATGCCATTTTCTAGGGCATCTGTTGGTTTCAGTTAGGTCTGGGAGAACCAACTATAACTGAAATTACCTTACAAACTTTTATTTTTTCCTATATTTTCACTCTCTTACATATTATACTACACAAAAACGATATTTTTTTTATCTTCGACCAAGATGGTAAACAGCTAAAGAGTCCATCCAGAGCGTCCATCAAATGGCGAGCACCAATCTAAATGCACCTGCATGCATGGGAACTTCCCATACGTATACGTCTGCGAAAGATCGAACGGACCAAGACTGTTAGGTTCTAAGTAGACGTTGTAGGTTAGAAACAATGGAAAGATGTTGAAAGAAGAACAAATTCTCCCCACCAAGCAACCCCACTCTCTCTCTCTCTCCTTTCTATCTCTTTATTGGTTAGTCCACACGTAGCATCAGCCTCTATCTCTCTCTAATCTCACTCTATCTCATAAGAGAACTGTACTTTCCTCTTTATTTCATCGGTTAAAGCATCTCGGTTGTCTATTAGGGTTGTCTCCATTCCATAAATATATCCACCCGCTCATAGCAATATCTCTATCGATCCATCTGTTAAGAATTCGTGGCCATGAACAATATCCAATCTTCTCTTACATCTTAATTAGCTTCTTCTATTCAATTCTCTTGTAAAGAAAGAAACTTGCCAAAGGGCCGAGTTTCTCTCTCTTTTCTTCTCTTTTCTTCCAGTTATGTGTTCAAGAGGGCATTGGAGGCCAGCAGAGGATGAGAAACTCAAAGACTTGGTTACAAAATATGGCCCTCACAACTGGAACGCAATCGCTGAGAAACTTCCTGGAAGATCAGGTACGTGAAAGACTAAAAAGCAATTTTTGAAAGGTATTTATCACCTTTAAGTAAATAAGATTGTATGAAATTATTAAGATTTATGTATGATTATGCAGGAAAGAGCTGTAGGTTGAGATGGTTCAATCAGTTAGATCCAAGAATAAACAGGAGTCCTTTTACAGAAGATGAGGAAGAGAGGCTTTTAGCTTCTCATAGAATTCATGGAAACAGATGGTCTGTGATTGCACGTCTGTTTCCTGGGCGCACAGATAACGCTGTGAAGAATCACTGGCATGTGATCATGGCAAGGAAAGTAAGAGAGAGGTCAAGGTTTCATGGCAAGAGACCCTCCTTTTCTTCTTCTTCTTCCGTGATCATGGATGAGAGCTCAAGTAATGCTCAAGGCAAGCAAGGGAGTCTAAAGGATCCTCAAGGATTCTTCTCCTTGGTAGGAAATTATTATAAAAAGCAACAAAACTGCTTTTTGCTCGGAGATTTTCGATCAAATTCAGATGAGTTGCAGTCATGGATTCAATATGGTTTCGGTGCTGATTTCAGCCTAGGTAATATCATGGAGAAATTTAAGATGTTTTCATATGTTTGGTTCATTATATATGTTATATATGTATAAATTGCATATGTATTGAATTATTCACATCTATAAATTATAATTTCATAACTGATATTCATGAATCTCTGAATATCAGATTATCTGAAAAAATAATAATAATCATAGTTCTTTTTTTTTTTGACATAACATTATTTTGTTCAAGTAAGATAGATGTATATAATACTGAATCAAATGCATAGTATATTTGATATGTAACATATATTATTATCTGATAACATTACTACTAACAATATACTATTAAGCAAACAGACCCAAATTAAAATTAGGTCTCTGGTAATGTATTTACCTATATATTATCAACTTGTTGCAGGTGGACGGAAGAATCCAATCGAGTTTTATGATTTTCTACAAGTGAATTCCGACTCCAATGGCACAAAGTGTTGTTCGAGTGTAGAAGATGAGAAGGATGAGACTGATCAGCAGGAGCAAAGCAAAGCTCGTCCATTCTTCGATTTCCTGGCAGTTAATGGGAGCATTTAACTATTAACTTTGGGATAATAGGAAATGATTAATTAACTAATTGATCGTTATGCATGGGTGTTTAAGGGATAAAACAATCGCTTAAGATCATATTTATCTAGTAATCAGAAAACTCGCCATGAACATTCAGTTCACGAAAAATCTTGCATGGATGGATGATCTGTGTCCCATGCATTATTTCTTATGCATCGGGAGTGTCATGAGCTGAGTTTTAGTTCTAATTAATTAACATCTTAAGCAAATGTTTCTCCTATATTTATAATATGTGTATAATGAGGAGCCAAAGCTGGCTGACTTACACCTTAAAGCTACTCTAAGGGGTTTGTGCATGCACTATGTATGCTTATTTATGTATGAATGAGTAAATGTTAAATAATTCTCTTTCACAAATGAGAATTGATGGTAGCTGAATAAGCCATTTCAACCTTGTACATTATATATATATATATATATTTATCTAAACCACTTTGTGGAGAAATTTCAATGTGATATTGTGTTATGTGATGTGGAAAAAATGTGAAATGAAGATATATTATTATACATTTTGCTTTAGAATATAAAGATAAAACAAAAATATATTGCAAAATTTGACACTACAGAAAAATCATCTATATATCACCCACGGATTCATCGAAATCTGACAGAAATCCGCCGGAAAAATCCGTCGGTAATAGATGATTTTACTGCAGTGTGCAGGGTATTCTACAATTTATTAAGAACTTTTGTTTTCAAGAATGTGGTATGTTGAAATAGATGGGGAATCTAAACCTGAAAATGATATTGCTAAACCAAATTAAAGAGGATTATTATAATCTTAGTTGGCTGATTAATGAAATGATTGGTTTTTATACAACGAGAAAATTTTTTATGGGGTGAGCTGAGGAATTTACTTTTGAGTTGTTAATCAGGACATGACATTTCGTAACTAATGAGAATCACCTTTTAAATGATTTTTTATGTTTCATTATGATAATACATTTTACTTATCAATCAAATGTAACAAAACTTCAACAATGGAAACTGATCATGATAATGACTAAATATATTTTACTTATCATGGAAATTTTATATTTTAAAATTCATAATAATGACAAAAAAATTTAAGATTGAAGAAAAAATATTAAAAATTAATATCATATATGTATATCAATAACATCATTTTTATTTCTTCAATATGTTCAATATGATTGGCAATAATGTAGAGCGCGCAACTTCACCTTCTCCATAAGAAAAGTAAGGACTTCTTTTAATTATTATTTGAATAATATTATTTTCTTAAATAAAAGAAAATTTTCAATAATGAAAATGAAAATTATAGAATGGTTGAACTCAACAGCAGAAGTGGAGTTTCGTTTATACGAGAAATTATTGTGTGCGGAATCCGAATGCATTCGGATTCCAATCATGGCATGCCACGTCATCGGATGCACTCCGGGGCCCAGTGCATGCAGTGATGTGGCGGATGGTGATTGGAATCCGAATGCATTCGGATTCCGCACACAATAATTTCTCCGTTTATACCCCCTAAAGAAGGATCAAATTCAGTGTAGTTCCAAAAAAAAAAAGAAGCCAAAAAGGTATAAAGCAAAGCCAAATGAGATACAAATAGATAACCACTCAAATGGAGATACTAACTGTAAAAAGTTTCCCATTCAGTTGTGCCACTAATCTCTAAAAATCTAGCCAAAAGCTCTTACTGTAGAGATGAGACTTTCACATAATAGTTCTTCTTGTTTCTACTACGTTGATTTGAAATAGTCTGAATTATCCTTAGGAAAATCATCTTCTGATTCAGGTTTCAGGCTTCGTTTGAGACGACTTTCTAGTTGCTTTAAAAGCAACTTTCTAGTACAATTTTTTTTTAATTTTGTACTAAAAAATTGCTTTAAGAAGCATCTAGAAAGCCAGCCCAAACGAAGACTTAATGTTGTTACGTGTAGAATGAGAGAATGCTAAAACATATAGAACTGTTGAAAATTAAACTTGATTAATTTGGGCTTTTAATTGAGCCCATTGTCTAGAAAAGTCCTTAGAATATTCTAGAATCCCACTTTATGATGAATGTTTTAGAGGATTCTAGATTGTGAGCCATAAAAACTGATTCCACCACTAAAGCAATAACAAACACTTAACCCCTATATAGAACGGATCGAATATGGTCTAATTGGACTGACAACCTCCTCTCCAGCTAGTATTGATGAATGTTTTAGAGGATTCTAGAAATATATTCTAAAAGAGTTATTTAGAGAATTTTAGAATATGCAATTAATGACTTTTGTAGAAGAAGATAGGAGAATATTCTAGAGAGTCAATAGTAGTCATTGGATTGAAATGTGTTGGCACAATCCTAAAGGGGAAGCAACTAGTATAAATAGGTGTGGTGTCTTTGTGTTTATGTATGAAGTAGAATCAAGAGTTCAAATGTGAAATAAAAGTGAGTTTTATAACTGTTCCTCTTCTCTTTTAAAATTCCTCCTCTTTCTATAGCCCCTTATTCTCCAACAAGAACATCAGTCTCAGGATGTTACTGACCACTAGTTGAAGGAGGAGAGAAGAGGAAGAATAACCTCCAATCTTAAATTTTGCTTATTCTAAGTAGGGTTAATGTCTAGATTGTGAGCCATAAAAACTGATTCCACCACTAAAGCAATAACAAACACTTAACCCCTATATAGAACGGATCGAATATGATCTAATTGGACTGACAACCTCCTCTCTTACTTCTTCTTAAAGCTGCTTTTTAGTACAAAATTTTTAATTTTAATTTTTTTTACTTAAAAAATTATTTTAAAAAGCAGTAAGAAAGCCGCCCCAAACGAAATCTTCAGATAGTTATAGATGTTAATTTGAAAAGTGTTCTAATCACTACTTTGGCCAACCGGTTGTAATGCCCTTTTATATTGTGATTTATAAACAGATAGCCTTAACGGTTTTTTTCAAAGTTATTTTATTAAAAATATTATAAATAATATAAACATCATTAAAAATAAAAATCAAATTTTAGATAAAAAGATGGTTATATTCCACCAAAATAAAATAAAAAAAATTCAAATATTTAGTACTGTTAAACAATTCTCAAGAATTCAACATATTAAAGTAAAATAATCCATAGAAGAAACTTTAGCTAAAGCAGATAAAATTACTCGTATACACAAAACACGAAACACTATATATGTTAAAAAGTAATTAGAAAGATTGACAATTCGGCAGCTCCGTCGCCTGCTGTTGAGCCTTCGTGTATACCAGCTGTGACTGTTGACAATAATGCTGACTGTGTGCTGGTGGATAATTTGAATGGAAATTCGCTGTGCTCTAATAATTTTGTTGATGTCCCGGAAAATTTGGCCGACACGCATACTATGGTCAATCGTTTGGGTGATAATTCTGGTTTTGATATTAGAAACCATGTGGATTGGCTGCATGGATCGTCTGAATTCGAATCTGAATCCGACTTTTCGGATTGTGGTTTGGCTTCTCCGGAATTTTGCGGTGGATCTGACCCTGGAAACGATTTTACTTTGGTTTGTGATAGACCTGGTATCTCGGTTGCCTCTCGTGGGAGATTTCGTGGGAGGGGCCGGAGAAGAAGATATTTTTTTTCTCTGTAGACTGTATTTTTTCCCCATATTTGTCGGGTTGGTTTTCTGGACGTTTTGTCGCTTTGGTGGTGCGCTGGTTTTTGGGGCAATGATGTGGCTGAGGCTCGTGTCCTTGTCGTCTAGTTGATGGCAACCTTTGGTGTTGGTTTTAGAGTTGGTTGGATTTTGGGAGCTGGCTTCACCTTATTGGATGGTCCGTGCGAGGCTTCGGAGATGCTGGGAGCCTCGACCGATTACTGAGCCCACTTTTGATTGTATTTTGCCTTTTTCTTTTATTTTTCTGTTTTATGGTGTTGTAACCGTGATTGTTATTCTGAATATATTAGTTTTCGTTTTTTAAAAGAAAAAGTAATTAGAAAGATGATATATTAATATTTTGATCATTTAATTGAGCATATTTTTAAATGTTTTCAGTATGTTTTTTATGTTGTCGATTTAAAAGTTAGGAATATGTTATTTTTTTTATAATTTTCCTAATGGTTTTAGTGAATGGCTTGTCGGAAATGACGATGCGAGTTTTCTAATGAAAAACCGGCGAAAAAAGTCATTGGAACAATTCCGAAAATATTTTTCTATGAAATAAAATTCCATCAGTAACGATTTTTTATGGGGTTTTTAGCACTGAATCCTTATCTATCAAAATTTTACTTTTTAGATAAAAATTTAATATTTTTAATGAAAAAATCTACCGTTAATTAGTTTTTTGCTAATGACATTTATAATATGTACAATCATTTATACAAAACTGATCTCTAATACAAAAAAAAAACACTCGTAGGTATTAGTGATCCCCTTAATTACTTTAGTTATCCAATAAGAAGCACTAATCCAGCATATGATTAATATCATGATTACAATAAGCATTATCAAAGTCCAGTGCACTGTGCACCTAAAGATGATTAGAGGTGCATGATTGGGAAAATTTAATTTTTTATTATTAATCACATTTGTTTTTAAAAAAATGTGACTATTAGAAGTATGATTGAAACTACTTGTGACGTGACTATATATATTTAGCAATATTTTTTACAAAATTATGATTACCAATTTTAGTCAAACGAATTGAAAAGTTATGATTATATTATAAAATAATGAAAAACATGTTATTAAGGCTTCGTTTGGGACGGCTTTCTTAATGCAATGCTTCTTTAAATAATTTTTTAGTACAAAAAATTTAATTTTTGTACTAAAAAATTGCTTTAAGAAGCAGTCAGAAAGCCGTCTCAAATGAAGCCTAAAACTTGTGTTTAGTTGCATATAAAATAGCATATTTGAAGGTTAAATTTATTATAGTGATGGGAGCTCATTTAGGAGTGCTTTCTTACTGTTTTATAAAACAATTTTTTAGTACAAAAAATTTTTGAAGTTCAAAAAAGAGTTGCTTTAGAAAACATTAACAAAGCTATCTTAAACAAAGCCTGAGTTAGGTGGCATAGCTCATCATATTTAGTAATAGCAAAAGAAAGTGTTCTTTACATCTACAAAATAGGCAATGATCTCTATTTTATTTAGACAAACGTAGCCTTAGTTAGGTGGCATAGCTCATCATATTTAGTAATAGCAAAAGAAAGTGTTTTTTACATCTATAAAATAGGCAATGATCTCTATTTTAGTTAAATTTAAAAGCTATGATGTTGGTGACCATCTTCTTCTAGTATAGGGAGTTAACAAAGAGACGTGGTTAAAAAAATAAGCTCCCTAATTCATATTCAAGCTCATTATGAAGTTGAGTTATATGAAGTATAGGGTGATCATCTTTTGATTAGCATGCCATTAACCTCAACCTTGATTCACCCAATCGCTCCTCCTATACGAGAAGAATGA